GACCAGTCAGAGGTAGTATTTGCCGGTTCTCCAAACTACTCAAAATTTCTGCTGCCAGTTCTCCAAACTGCTCAAAATTTCCGCTACCAGTTCTCCAGAACCTGCTGAATTTCACCTCTGCTACTCATCCTGATAAGAGTTTTCTGCTTAATTACATTTGTATCGTCAGCAAAAGTAAATTTGAACTTTATCAAGTTTTACTTATTTGTGCTTGAGAGTGAGATAAGTCCAAAGGCAGGAAGTCACTTAAATCATTTCAATTGACAAAAAGTTCTGATTGGGAAGATTTTGGAATGATTAGGGATGATTTGTCCCATTCCCGCCTATTATTGTAAGGTGGTTTTGGTTCTTCCTGAAAATCCCCAAAGCAGTTTGAAAACTCCAGAAATGAGTGGAAAAAAATTACAGCTCTACTTTAAGATGCCAAGAATGTGATTTCAGAAAATTAGACACACTGCATGATGTTATAGGTCAGTAAAATATATTACTTTCTTATGTCCTTACTTCATACCGCATTACCGCATTCATTTGGCTGCCTGCAAAAATCCCACATGTTGTTAATATGAAGTTTTGAAAAGTCAGCCAAGCCCCTTTCCCCTGGAAAACCCTGCTTGGTGTGGTTACAGGGAGGGTGAGGCCAGTGTTCCTACAAACTGACCAACAACTCACCCATAAGCCCCCGAGAACCTAAAAAAATAAATTAGCCTCACAGCACTTTTTACAGCCAAGGTAGAAATAATTCACCATAGCAACAATTGCTGAAAAAGTTATTATTTGAATTGGGCTGAGTGTGGAACTAATTCTTCAGCAGTGCAAACTACTGCCCAAGTTGGGCCACAATGCCAATTTTTGGTATACAAATTATTCCATTTGCTAATTAGCCCTTCCCTCATCAGGCATCCTTGACTTGTGCTCATTGGTCAAGCTGGTTCCAGAATGTGAAAGCAGTGGTCGAACCCATTCAGATGGCTCCAGGCTCATGAGGGTTTCTAATCACACTTGTCATTTAATAATAAATAATAATAAAGTATTAAATTCAATAGTTCAAGATTTTGTGAGGGCCCAAGTTCCAAAAGGATTAAAACTTTTTTAATACTATACTACTGTACAGTCCTAGGCTGCGTTAACAGAGGGATAGAATCAAGATCACGTGAAGTTTTTATGCTACTTTATAAGGCCTTGGTAAAACCACACTCGGAATACTGCATCCAGTTTTGGTTGCCACAATGTAAAAAAGATGTTGAGACTCTAGAAAGAGTACAGAGAATAGCAACAAAGATGATTAGGAGACTGGAGGTTAAAACATATAAAGAACAGTTGCTGGAATTGAGTAGGTCTAGTTTAATGAAAAGACTAGGAGTGACATGACAGCAGTCTTCTAGCCTCTCAGCGGCTGCCACAAAGAAGAGGGAGTCAAGCTATTCTCCAAAGCACCTGAAGGCAGGACAAAAAGCAATGGATGGAAACTAATCAAGGAGAGAAGCAACCTAGAACTAAGGAGAAATTTCCTGACAGTTAGAACAATTAATCAGTGGAATGACTTCCCTCAGAAGTTTTGGGTGCTTCAACACTGTAGACTTTAAAGAAGAGATTGGACAAACATTTGTCTGAAATGGTATAGGGTTTCCTGCCTAAGAAGGGGTTGGACTAGAAGACCTCCAAGGTCCATTCCAACTCTGTTATTCTGTTACTATCACCAAGACTGAATAAAGGTTGTGTAAGACTAAATGCAGAGCACCGAATGGAGACCATGCTGGTGTCACCAACTGTTTTGTTCCTGCTACAGTGTTTGAGACAGATCTCTTGTTCTCCCTCAAGTACTTCCCATGCCATACTCTTCTATAATTTGAATAGAGGATGCAAGTGCTCAGATTCATTCCTTATTTCATAGCAACACAGAAGCATCTTTTAAGTCCAATAAAATCTAATAAAATCTCTGTAAATGCTAACTCTTTTAAGTAGCCTTGTCTTGTTCAGCAGGCTATAAAATATTCTCTATCTGATGTATTTTATTTTCCAATGTTTTTGTTTCCATGTTTCCTTTGTTTTCCCAGTTCATGCTGCTACGTTGAGAGCTGTATTCGATTTTGTTTTTAAAACACACTGAAATAACATATCAAGTTTCCTCATTATCGGTAATGAACAGCGCTTACATTGTGCTTTTTCTCTGGAATCCCTTGACCATCTGCCTCTTATTTCCATTTTAATCTCAGAACTCTCAGTGTAGCTCCTGACAGAATGGGATGTCAACCGGGTCTCCCCAGTTACATTCTGACATTCTAACCAGGTTAGGGCTGTGCAGGGCTTCTGATTCAAGTGGGAATACATGAGCACAAACACAGGGTTTGTTTAGAAGCTCATGAAAACAGGCAAAGTGGTTTCCAGAATCTCGGAAACCACAGTTATCAGCATATTGTATCTCTGTGAGAAACATCTGTGGTTTAAAATGGGTTTTCCCACATGGCCTTGCAATACAGACACCAGCTCCATTGTTTCATTCTATGAGTCACTAAACAAAAAATCCTATCTCCCATCCCAGGCCAAAAACAATACATTACAACCAGGTCTAACAAGCCACAGCCTTCCTTCTTTATTGCACAACACTCCAGCAGTGGAAGTTTTACTGAAGAAATTGTGAGGGACAGAATGGTTCATATACCACCCAGCTACCCTTTGTTGACTGAACCACACAGGCTGGGTTCACACTAAGCCAGGGGTGTCAAACTCAAGGCCTGGGGGCCGGATCTGGCGCACGGGGTGCTTAGACCTGGCCCCCAAGGCTGCCCTGGAAACAGCAAAGGACCAGCCCGCGGTGCCTCTGCCAGTGAAAACAGAGCTCAGGAGGGCTGTGTGCGTCACTCCCAAGCTCCATTTTCACTGGCAGAGGGTTGCAGGAGGCCGTTGCAGCTGAAAATGGAGCTTGCAGGAGCCACAGGAGACACTCCCAACTCCATTTTCACTGGCAGAGGGTTGCAAGAGGCCATTGCAGCTGAAAACGGAGCTTGCAGGAGCCACAGGAGATATCCCAACTCCATTTTCACTGGCAGAGGGTTGCAGGAGGCCATTGCAGCTGAAAACGGAGCTTGCAGGGAGCCACAGGAGATACTCCCAACTCCATTTTCACTGGCAGAGGGTTCCAGGAGGCCATTGCAGCTGAAAACGGAGCTCGGGAGCCCATTTTTGCTGGCAGAACGCTCGGGCCATCACAGGCCCACCCCGGCCCCCCAAGGTCAAACACAACCCTGATGTGGCCCTCAATGAAATTGAGTTTGAGACCATTGCACTAAGCTATAAACCAGTGTTTACAAAGCACAATGGTTGGGCACAGTTACAAAGAAACCACACTGATGTCTTAGAACAAGGTGACCTAAAGCTTGGTCCCTCTAAAAGATAGATCTGGGGCATTAGGGCGATAAAATTAGCAAAAGGTGAGGATGATTTCAGAGGGAGGGGATTAAGCTATTCCACACTTTTTGTGTTGCATCATATTCTGCTTTTTATGGGTGTCTTGCAACACGTTGGGCCTTTACACAGCACAACTGCACTGCAGTGCTGTGTGCCTAGAAATTTCAATTGGAGAATGCTGGGAATCTTCTGTTGATTTTTCAGGGTATGTTCCAAACCAGAGCATAATCCTAGTGCCACAAAAGAATAAACAATGTGTTATAACAAAATAAAAAGGTAGCCTTCTGACTTTCATAAGATTGATAGTGAAAAACATTCTTGACTATTGTCCAGTGTCCCCTAATCTTACTGAACAAGTTTTTCGCACACTTGGTACTAAAAACTATCCCAGTCCTTGACAGATAGAATTTGGGATGACTAAATCAAACATCGAACCTGCAACTGTGAAAATCTATAATGCTTGCTTTTACCTTGTTATTATTATTCCTGTGTAATCTTATATTACCTTCTTGCACACAGTATAGTGAAGGAAAGCGGGAAAAGCAGCAAATCCATGCCGACAGCTTTATAAATCCAATTAAGGCTTTCATTGTGAGCAGATATATCAACAAATGTGCTGGTCTCCAATTTTTCATCCTCTGTACAACTGCAACACATTGCATGGATGTTTCATGTTCTGTGCATATCCTGCTGAACAGTTGCAAGCAGTTACAAAGCCAGTTTGCACATAACTTGGTGTGTGTGTGAGAGAGAGAGAGAGAATCCTGTGGCCCTCCAGAAGTTGCTGTACACATCATTCATCTCTGGCTGTGTTGATTGGGTGTTGAAGTTCAAGACTTCTGAAGGGCTGCTCCTGCCCTACTATTTAATGCCCATATAGTGATGCCTGACTGAGATTGTGCTCCCACAATAGCAAGTTAAAATGAGCCAATGGGGAGATTCCATTTCACTACCTTTTCTGGTAATATGCCTTGTCTCATTTTCTACAACCTTTGACCAAAACGCAGATAAGGTTTTAACAACTGGGACACCCACCATCTACTGTATTTTTCGGAGTATAAGATGCTCTGGACTATAAGACACACTTACCTTTTTTGGTGAGGAAAACAAGAAAAAGAAATCTGCCTCTGCTTCTGCCTCCCAGCAGTTTTGCCTCGTTGCAGCAAACAGAAAATAGCCTGCTTTACTTTCATTTTCGTTTTCAGCATAGCTTGATTAGCACAAGTAAAAAAAAATCTGCTCCCAGCAATTTACCTCCTTGCAGCAAGCAGCAGAGGCTTTTTTTTTTTTTTGCAAAACAGCAAAACAGCTGAGAGTCGGGAGGCAGATCCAATCAACTTGTGCTAATTAGGCTGCACTGAAACTGAAACAAGCTGTTTGTTCTTGCTGCTTGCTGCAAGGAAGTAAATTGCTGGGAGGCAGAAGCCAAAGGGTGGGGGCCAGTGGGTGGGTGGTGCTACATTCGGTGTATAAGACGCATCTAAATTTTCACTCCCTTTTAGGGGGGAAAAAGGTGTGTCTTATACTCTGAAAAATACGGTGACAGCTAATTTCTGCTTATAGCTAAGAAAACAGATTACAGTGGAAAAAACATATCCAAGTCCAGCCCTTTATTACCATGTTGAAGCTCTTCTGAGAAAACTGTACAGGGAAGGACTTGGCATGGAATCATAATAAATTAAAAAAAAAAGAAGAGGAAAGGAAGTGGAGTGGGAAGGAAAGAACAGCTGGTGCCACCATTGTCTTTCAGTAGTTACAGCAAGTGCAAAAAGCAAAATCTACAAAGAGCAGAATTTGAACAACAAGAGGTAGCAATCTACAGAGGCTTTTTAGTGGGCAAAAAAGGAAGAATTTGGCATCCACACATTAAAAGGGAGACTAGCACAGGCAGGAAACCTGAGGGCACCACCAAATCACAAGGTGCTGCAAAACCTAACAGGGCAGAGAGCCCAAGTTCTCCTGCTCCAAACTAGGAAACTGGCAAGACCGGTGTATGTTGCAAAAGCTAAGAATTCAGATCTCGCCTTGCCATGTACGTACTACACAGAAATTTGGCTTCTTCTAATTTGCTATGGAGGGTGGTGACGGAACAGGGCTCTCCTTGTGGCACAAAGCAGCAGGATACCCCAACCAAGGACCCAAAGTTGCATTTCGGTGGAGGCAGCTGCTCCTGGAAAGGAACAAAGCCCCGTTTAGGTCTCCTGGGGTCCCTTTTTCAGGCCAAAAAAGCTGGAGGAACGGGGAGGCGGTGCAATGAGCATCGGAGCTTGGTTCTTGTGAATTATTCTGATCTAAAAGAAAAATGGAGCAAAATGTGTCAACACTTTAGAGCAGGCCTCGGGCCTTTCCCTTTACTTGCCCATCTACACACCCCATATCACAGTTTATGGATGATTAGAGCAGACCAACCACTGTCTGGTTGTATCTCCTCTTACCAAACTAGGACATAGCTAGGTCTCTTTGCGGTCATTACAAGTCAACATTGACCTGATGGCATTTCATCAATCCATCAAGAGAGAGCTTCCAAACCAGCTAGTTGATCTTTAAGACCCTAATTTAAGTCCAGGTGATTTCAAGGACTACTTAGCAGTAGCCAGCCTGTTTGGTCTTCTTAGTGGACAGGAACCTACCCACCAGACTAATCCCCACTGGGCCTGCTGCTAGTCTTGGGCAACTATTTAATTAGTAAGGTGGCTTGTTTCAATTAGCTAGGAGTGGCAATTTGAAAACAGCCTACCAGCTTTTATGGTGGCTGTCACTTCCTGGGTATTTATATGGGAAATCTGAGAAAAAATGTCCTATAAAATCTGCAATGACCCAGTTGGAACTATTCTCTAGGTTTTTTTAACTGAAAACTTAAAAAAAAAAAATCTAACAAAAATGGTAGGCTCAGGCAGAGAGAGGGCTAATTTTCTATTCCAAGAACGTGTGATATTTAGGCCACTGGGGAATAAGTAAATCCACAATTAAGTCAGAGATCTTGGTGGTGATGGATGTTCCTAGTCTAAGAAAGGCTCAGGCTATTGAATTTGCATAATATATCAGCACTTAAAATGATCTGATTAAATATATTATGCAGTCACTTTCTCTTGCTCGCGTGCAGAAATCCTGATAAAAGATCACTGTTGGAAATAATCATTTATTCCTCCTTGTCCAGATGCTCCCTCACCAGCTGTGTTGTAAGAAAGGGGATGGTGGTACAAATGTTCTATTGGCTGTACAAAGAGTAGCCAATGATCATTTGAAGCTTGAGGTTTGCCTTCACATAACATGAACTGACTTAACTTTTAAGATCATTCTTACAGCCTTCTTACTGACCACTCAAGAGACAGTTCGAACATTTCTCAGTGGCCCTCTTTTATAAAAATTCCCCTCAGAAGGCAAATGGCCCCTATCTGTAGCTGCTTTCTAGACTGTTTTAAAAACTCATTGGTTTTTGATAGCTTTTAATTGCTGATGTCCATTGCTGATGGACATCTTGAAATCATTTTTTATTTGAAACAGTGGAGCTTACATACATTTTCATGAAATGTCTGCCTTGGTGGATTAGCTTAAAGTAATAAAGCCCTCTCATTAACTGTTCCTAGCAATTTTCATATATCAGCAACTCATGCATTGTAAGTTTCAGATTTTACCAGAAAGCACCGGCTGTGCCCTTGAGCTGGTCAGCAAGCCTTCTATGATAAGGAGTTCTACGGCCTCACCAAAACAGGCCCTCATACCCAACACTACAAAACATACTGTAGAATATGACCTTAGGAAGTGCTTACTGTGCACGGTGCTTGCATCCATGGCTCTCCATCGATTTGCATGGGAAGATGCTTGAAGGTTCTGCAAAAAGGACATGAGAAAAACAGGAATGACATGAGATGATGAATATTCAGATTTTATAGAAGTCCTCATGTAATTATCCAGAACAAATACTGAACAAATACTGAATATGACAGTAAATATGGAGCACCTTAGTACTGATTTCCTGCCTTCATCTGTCTATATTGCAGCCAGCACCATCACATCTTCGTATCACATATTATCACAGCAATTGTCAGGTGCAAGAAACCAGATCCACATGTGGAGAATTCGCTAACTACTTTATTGTATTCTGCCTATAATACAGGAATCTTCCCAAACTGCTTGCCTTCACTTGGGAATAAATAAATAAAGTCCCATGGACTGGTCGGGAGCTCAGCCCTAGATCTCTTGTAATTGCACAATGATTCAAGACTCATTCCCCACTTGAGTCCTCCCCCTCCAGCCTGGCTGGGCATTTCCCAGCAGCAATCTTTATGGTTAGTATTCTTAGTCTCATATGGCAGATGTGGAGGTGGGATGAAGCTCAGGGATAATGGCTGCCTAAGAACACTCACTGAGTCATTCTATATAATGGTACTGATTCAACTCAGCCCAACTAAGAAGGGTGTCAATTACCGTTAATAGACATTTACTCTAAAGGTTCACAGAGACATCATTATTATTTCACATGTATCAAGGCCATGTACATGCCCCCTTTGGGAAAGTTGAAGGAAAGGCTGTCAGAGTTCCAAACAGCAACTACAAGAGAAGACAATACATCCATTGAGTTGACGGCCCACTTACTTCAGGGTGATCTCAGAGCACTTAGCCAGCCGTGTGCCTGCATTCTTCAAACCTGTGTAGATCTGTCCCATTTCAAACACACCCTCCAGGCCCACCACCTCCATCCGTCGATCACTCAGATCTGGATAGGGAATTGGAGGGAGAAAAGCCAAAGGTAAGAAAAGTCACCCCATCATTTCAAACTCCCCTAGAAAGTCCTCACAGCAATGTTTCAGAAAGGGCAGCAGAGTATTAATCTAGCTTGGCCTCTTAGAAATCATATGCCATTCTTCATTCTTCACCCTCTCAAGCCATGCCTGCCTTTCTCTGTTATACCTACTACTAACGTCCAATCTACAAAGCTCCAAATTTTGTACCATCTACCCACTCTCCTGGCTCACCTTGTACACAGTTCTTCAGGATTTCAGCTTCAGTGATGACTTGAGGCTGTGCTGCTCCTCCGGCTGTGCTACGTGCCGCTGCCTCCCCCAAAGGTCTTTTGGTCTCACCCCAAAGGTTGGAACCCCCATGCATGCTAGGGATATTGAGGACAGCTATTCCAGAGAGGGCTCCACTGAGGTCCAGGGATTGCCCGCAGCACTTGGTAGAGACATATTTGAAAAAAAGGAAGATGAGCAAGACGATAGCTGGGATTTTTTTTATGCAATAATTTGAACAGCACTGTAGAATCCAAGTTCTAGACCCATTCCTGCACAGCTGGGTAAATATGCAGAAATGGCACTGCTAGGAGCAGGGTGTTTGAGAACTCAAGCTTCTTATTAACTATTTTGTCTGAGGTAGAAGTCTCAATGCCAAAAATATAATAGATTGCTCCAGGCTTATCAGTGTCAAAGAAAGAAAAACACTTTGCACATGTTCATAGGAAACATAATGTGGCAGGCCAAAACAAAATCATTTTGGACCTAAAGCGTGACTTAGACACCGCTGCAAAGAATTGCATGCTGGTTACAGAAGGGAACAATTTTCCCAACCCATAACAGCGATCGACCACAAAGGAAATGCTCACCTCTATAGACAAACACTCCTTGAGCTTTTTGCATGTGGCAAAAATAGTCTCCGATGTAGCAAATTCAAAATACCAGAGCTTGTTCTTCATCCTATTCAGAAAAGGGGCAATGTAGAGGGTGTGTGGTTGAGCCCCACATCTTCCCCAGGCAAGCACATCCACTGGCAGGACTTGCCAACCGGGAGCCCCACTCCATAGCAGATATTCATTGCCCAGTGCAGAGCCATCCGCTCTGCATGACTAGCTGTCCTTATATATTCCCGGGAAAATCAAATCAGGGTATCAAAGGGAGTGGGGACATTTCCACAAGCAGAGTGGAAAACAAAAGTACTAGATCAAGTTTCATAGGAAGACTTGAGAATTGCCAAATCAGCCTTGAAAAGGGATGGGATAGCAGCACCAGGGACCCCCTACCCTCTTTTACAACTGAACTAACCTGCTGTTAAATTTCTCCGGGTATTTCTCTCTCATGACATGAAATCGGTGGGCAATTGAGGCATCCTGAAGAAAATGAAAATGAAAAAGAGAAAGTGCTGAAGAAGTGTTTTGTGAAGATGAGAGACACTTCAGGACAGAGATAACCACAAGGTTAACTCTCCCCTTCCATTTCTTACACCCATTAGCACCCTCTCTAGGTCATTTCAAAACTACCACTGTGGGACACAAGTTACCACAACCAATGATGAATAGTTTCAAGCAGAAGCTTTATTGCTAGTCACCTATGTTATAAGAATCTCACCAAACACACTTCTTTCCCTTGGGAGCAATCAGATAAGGTTTCCGGGATTCTGGGGAAAGTCAGGCCTGTGCCACTTCCTGCAGTGCAAGGACTCTAAGCTTGGCCCCCTCTTAACACCTCCCTCCAGTCTAGCTGGAGACTCCACCACATCCATCTTGTGTTATTAAATCCTGCCTCCTTCTTCCTCTTCATTGCTAAGGCTGTTTATGATGGCCATTTTCTTTCTGGGCCTACTGTCTTCAGGGGCAACAGCAAGATTACAGCAGTCCCAGAGAACTTAGAGAATAAATACCCCCTCTTTGCCTTCTTGAGCAAAGGGTGATCCTTCTCTTGTGCTTTCATCTGTTCCTACTTACTACGCCAATGGAGAAGTAGTTATTGATGATCTCATAGGGCACAGGGTCTCCTTTCTCATCCGGGTTATCCGGCATCACCTGCACTGACCAGCGATCCATCTGTATGATGTTACTTGCTTCAATATCTTTCAGTATCTTTACCAGATTCTCACCATCATAACCTGGGAAAGAGCAGAACATTAGTTGGGACAATTAAGGGTCACTGATTTATGATCACACTATTTAGGAAAGGGTTAAACCAGGGATGAAATGCTACCAGTTCATTCTGGTTCAGGCAAACCAGTAGTGATAAAAACTACCAGTTCAGGCGAACCGGAAGTAAAAAAAGCTACTGGTTTGCCCAAACGGGTAGTTAGCTACTGGTTCAGTCGAACCGGTAGTTAAAAAAAGCTATGATCCAACGATCATCTGTGTCGCGCGGTTTAGTTTTGCTAAAAAGCAGTATTTTCTGCTTTCTAGCGAAGCTAAACCACGCACCACAGCTGATCCCCCCTCACTGTTCTATTTACCTTCCCAAGGCTCCTTTTGGTGCATGCCAAAAGGTAAGTAGAACAGCGGGCGGGGGAGGATCAGCTGTGGTGCGCAGTTTAGCTTCGCTAGGAAGCAGGAAATCCTGCTTTTTAGCAAAGCTAAACCGCGCGACACAGGTGATCATTGGATCGTAGCTTTTTTAAACTACTGGTTCAACTGAACTGGTAGCTAACTACCGGTTTGACCGAACCGGTAGCATTTTAAATGTGCAATGCACATTTGGTGCGCACTGCGCATGCGCACACAGCACGCATTTGGTGCACTGCGCACATGCGCGGCCAGCGAACCAGTAGCAAACCGGTTCAGACTTCACCACTGGGTTAGACCCTTAACTCTAAAACCTCTTATCATCTGGCCTCTTCTCATTATGATCAAGCAATTTTCAGCTAAGAATGAATACATCCAGGCAGATCAAACTCTTTTTCCTTGCTTATATATTAACATCAATTCACATGCTATTGCTCATATTGGTACTGTGCTTTAAGGGCAAAACTAAGATTATTTTCATACAAGCATCTTAAAATTTTTCACTGTATCACCTATCCATCAGTGAAGTGACATAAAGTCTGCCTGCTTTACTATTATTTTTGGCACAAAAATAGTTGGATAATTCTAGAAGAGGCTAGAAATTGCTAGTGTGGAATAACCTAAGTTAGAATGGAGAACAGTTGTGATATTGAGCTAATTTTTTCAGAAGTTGATTTATTTCACATGGGTAGCTGTCCTTTTGATAATTTACTCCTGCCAAGAAAGGCATTGACCATGAGAAGTATGCAGAAATTATACGACTGAGTAAAGATCTGAAACAAGAGTGCCCCAGCTGGGCTTTATCCCTCTTATTGGCTATATCTTATAATAAATGGTGCGTTATTAATACTTGGAGTCATCTGTTCAACCATGACTATATGAATTCAAACTCTATAAATTGTGGTTCAAGGTAGAATATAAGGGGAGTCTAATTGTGTTATTGAAGTTTATTTCTAAATGGGGTTTATTTCAATTTTGGCCTCACCTTATTCCCAACTACAAACCCTTTGCCTAGAATTGCTTCTAGACTTCATTTCTAAATGTTTTCCTTCATTTTAATTATTTCATTACAAATTAAAGCTACAGAATATACAGTAGGAAGACAAGGATAAATGTAATTACAAGTACACACAACAGAGGTAAAAATAAACCAAATTAATGAAGCAATGAAGTTGAGCTAGTCACTCTCTCTCAGCCCCAAGAAGGAGACAAACGCAAACCACTTCTGAAATCTTGCCAAGAAAACTGCAGGGACTAATTGAGGGACTTGCCAGGAATCAACAATTACTTTAAGGCAGCTTCTCTCCCCAATAGAAAGTAGAGTCTTTCTTTCATTACTTAGTTCCACTTTAGTCAATACTCCAATTCATAAAAGCACACAAGTGAAAAAAACCTAAGCTTCTCTTTTTCCCCAGGACAAATAATTTTCCCTCCCTAGTGAAGTTTACAATGTTTTGATTAAACTTCAATCCAATCACCCTCTCAAGGCTCCAAACTTTGTTTTAAATCATCAATTCACTCCTTCTCTAAAATTCTCTGGGTCAGATGCTGATTAGAGTTTCACTATCGCATTTCTTTCCTTAATTGTTGCGAGCTTTATATATGTAGAACTCTTATTAAAAAAACAAACAAAAAAAAGGTATCAGCTTGAAACAATAATTTCCATTCCTTGGAGGAATATGGGATAGTCTAGGAGAGATGTGGTGGCTCAGTGGCTAAGACGCTGAGCTTGTCGATTGAAAGGTCGGCAGTTCAGCAGTTCGAATCCCTAGTGCCACATAATGGGGTGAGTTTCTGTTACTTGTCCCAGCTTCTGCCGACCTAGCAGTTCGAAAGCACGTTAAAAATGCAAGTAGAAAAATAGGAACCACCTTTGGTGGGAAGGTAACAGCGTTCTGTGCGCCTTTGGCGTTTAGTCATGCCGGCCACATGACCATGGAGACGTCTTTGGACAGTGCTGGCTCTTCGGCTTTGAAACGGAAATGAGCACCGCCCCCTAGAGTCAGGAACGACTAGCACTTACTGTGCAAGGGGAACCTTTACCTTTACCTTTAGGATAGGGCTGTCAAACTCCCAGCCCGCAGGCCGGATGCGTCATGCACTTAGCGAAGGGGAGGGGAAAGTTCTGATACGTCACATGACACCGTCATGACGACATGAGTTTGATGCCCCTGGTTTAGGATATCTCTGAGGTGGGGACGGGTCCTGACGTCAAGTTTTGGAATCTCCTGAAGTCACAACAGATCATACCCAGAATCTACAATTCCAGAGACAAATCAAGAGACTGACTAAGCTTATGAGTTTGTTTAACTTTCTCTCAAGTTCCTTCCCATGCTGATTTTCAGTAAGATCACTGGTTATAATCTGAGTTTAGAATAAATATATGACTCTTCACAGGATCAAAGCAAATGCTCAAGCTTTGGGGTTCATAGGTGTAGCAGAAGGAAGGCCTGCTAGACTTGTTGGCAACTGTTACTCACCTCCACCCCAACGAAGACAGCGGGCCAGATCATTGCCAGTACCTAGAGGCAAGACAGCCACTGGCGGCCGACTTGGTAGGTTGGCTTTATCTGAGGAGGAAGTAACGTGAAAATAATCCATGCATAATTTGTTAGAATTTGGCAATAGTTCTTTCTCTATATGATGCCATGAATGAAAACAGGGAAGTTAGTTGACAATCCGTTAGTAGGAATAAGCCTGTTAATGGTACTTTTAATGGGCCTTTGGGTTTTGGTCCAAAAAATATTGTTTTAATGATCCTCAACAACCAAGAAACTATAGTCATGTTTCTCAAATATTTACCAATGGTGGCATAATAAAGTCAAGATCAATGTGAATTTTTAAAACCATTCCTTTAACTATATTAAGAATATGGGAATAGATACGAATGCAGTGCCTGAAAATACTTTTGTGCCTCTCAGCACAAGAAGCGTTTTAAGGACAAGAAATAATAGGCTAACATAAATGGTTAACTTTACACAAGATAATACAATTTTGTCAAAGGGAATATAAAATAAAATCAAGAGAATAATTGATGACAGAGGGAATATAGGTGTCAGGGTTCTCTTATTTACTAATGTTAGAAAGAGTTAATATAGACAAAAGACTGAGTTTGAAATAGAAATGTGTACAAATAATGAACATATTTTATTGAAATTTGAAACAGAAGTAAAAATGAAAGAATGTATAATAAATTTTTTGGTTATAATGTAGAGATGAAACAATTGGAAAATATATGATTGAAAGAATTGGAATTAACATTATAATTATTTTAATGAGAATTTTTATAAAGTATCACAGCATTGGTATATGTCACCAGAGAAATTGTTTAGATTCTAGAATATATAAAGGCACTTCAAGTTTGTTTTGGAAATGTGAACAAGAAGTGACATTTTATCGTGCTTGATGGATGTATAAAAAAGCTAAAAAAATTCTGGATTCAAATACATGTCCTGCTTAGAGGACTTTTAAAGATTAATATACAGCTGAAACTAGAGGTTTTTCTTTTGGAATTGATGGACAAACAGTTGGAAAGCAGTCATGGAACTTTGTTTTATACATAATAACTGTGGCGAGATTATTGTATGCCCCCAAATGGAAAGATTCGGCATTATTCACAATGAAGTCATAATTGATGATGATAAAACATGCAGAGCAGTGGTGGGTTTCAAAATTTTTTACTATCGGTTCTGTGGGTGTGGCTTGGTGGGTGTGGCATGGCTTGGTGGGCATGGCTTGGTAGGGGTGGCAGGGGAAGGATACTGCAAAATCTCCATTCCCTCCCGATCAGCGGGGACTCGGGAGGCAGAGAATAGATAGAGACAGGGACAGGCAGAATTTTTACTACTGGTTCTCCGAACTATTCAAAATTTCTGCTACCGGTTCTCCAGAACTGGTCAGAACCTGATGAAACCCACCTCTGATGCAGAGATGCTTAATTTGACTTCTTTGAACAGAGAAAACATAGTATCTATGTTTATTGTAGACTGGAAACTCTTTATAGATGTTTTTTGCATTAAAAGAAAAAAAATGAGTTTATGATTTGTGGTTTTGAGTATTAGACAGAATAGATTATAGAAAGAACAGAGTTATGTTGTAACCATAGAGTAAGAGATAAATTTATAATTGTTCTTAAAACTGCTATAAAGAATATTGACAGCTACTTCTTTATATCTTCTTTCTTTTTTCTTTTACTCTTTTTCCTTTCTTGCACTTTTAGCTTTTTCTTTGATTTCTTCCTTCTTCTTTTCTACCCCCTCATTTCTTTTATTTGGTATTAATTTTTAATTATCTTTTAAAAAATATTTAATAAAACTATATAAACCAGTGATGGCTAACCTTTTTGCCATTGTGTGCCAAACGTGGAGGGAGTGCGGGGGGATCGCATGTGCACGTGCCCACACCCATAATTCTATGCCCTGCCCCCCCGTGAACTCTCCCCCCCCGGCGCTCCCCCCGCCTTTGGCACATGATGGCACGGTGGGCCCGGTAGGCCCATTTTTTGCTCTCCCCAGTTGGGAAACGGGCCGTTTCTGGCCTCTGGAGGGCCTCCGGGGGGGGGAGGCAGTTTTCGCCCTCCCCAGGCTCCTTGAAAGGCTCTGGATTCGTGTGCCCACCAATATGGCTCCACATGCCACCTGTGGCATGTGTGCCATAGGTTCGCCATCATGGGTATAAACAATACTTACCAATGGCATCCAAGATCCATCCCACGGTGCCATCACCACCACAAACTAGGATACGGAAATTTGGTATATCTCGGAAAAAATTGAGGCTAGGATAAAAACACACACAAAAATTAGCTACTGATCCTGCAAAACATGCGGAATACAGGTAAACAGGAAAATCAGGTTGATGTACAAAAGTTCACATTAACTCACCCAGGTCCAGGACCTCCCTTTAATAAGTTATAAACTTGTCGTGGGTTCAGCAGATATTGGAATTTCCGCAGCACTCTATCAACAAGACATAACCAGTCAAAAAATTTGACATAATCAGTCAAAAATCCCCACTGCAGTGAAATCTGAACTAGAAATCCATTTTGACAGAGAAATAAATATTGCATCCCATCAAACAGGAATGCACTGATGGACCTTCCGATCTCATCAACTCTAGGTCCCTTCCCAAACACAAAGGCAAACCAAATCTACATCAGAACTGGCTACCTTTTCAGCAATAGCAGCCAACATATTTTAAATAAAATTAAATATGTCCCATGTTTGGTAAATTTTCAGCAACCTCTCTGCAGAAAACCTGCAAATTTTAAGGCAAATATAATGTTGATGTTAATTTCTGGCAACTGCCTGGATTAGTCCCTGTAGTTTTCTTGTTTTTCTTCTTCCTCAGGCTGAGAGAGTGACTGGCCTAAAGTCACCCAACAGGTTTCATGACTGAGGTGGGACTAGAACTCACAGTCTTCCGGTTTCTAGCCTGGTGCCTTAATCATCATCCCAAATATTTAAAAATAATATAATTTGTATTTTTTAATTTTAATTTTGGAGTTCCCCCACCGATACTGGACCCATGGCATTATATAGGCAGTTCAGGATTTATATTATGTCCAAGAGAAACATTCGGGAGCGTAAGGGAAAAAAAATGTTCTGAAAACAACTCGGTTTGCTTGGATTCATAAGCAAAGTTGGCTGAAGTTGTTCTGAGATGCCTAGCCTGCCCTATTCCCACATTCGCACTTCCAACCCTACTCCGTTCTCACCTCTCTCCTTGTTTTCCACCACTCTTAGGATTGACAAAGACAAGCAAGGGGTGTGTGTCAGGCAAAGGGATGATCTGTGGAAAGGGGTTAGAAAGACAAATAGCCTTGGTAAATGGACAAATCTGATTGCCCTGCACTGTGACCACAGGATGCAGATTGGGATACAGCACAGCACATACAGAGATAGAAAAAACAGAGGTAAATTGGGCTGGTAGTCAGAAACGACATCAGTCTGATCATGCAGCTACATGGATTTACTGTAAGCTTTATTTCCAGAGGGGTCTCTGGGTACCAAGCTGCACATAGCAATTCTCCTTATTGCTATGAACATTGTCAATCAGCTTTAAACATAAATACGTGTGTCTCCTTCAATGGCTAAAGTAAAATCAATTGTGCAAGTATCTAGGAACATTAATCCCTAGATGCACCTACCAGAAATAGCCTTGTGTTTGCAATTTCTGATCCGATAAACCTTTCACTGCAGTGAGCAGCAGCTGGCTCTAGCTGAGTGGCGACTTTGCTGCTTCTGAACCATGACAGAGTATTTCTCAGAAGAGGCCTGGAATGTTCTAAAATAGCTTTCTTTTCCAAATGGAAAGGCAGGAGAGAGCAGGGATTGACAGGCAGCTGGATGGGATGGAGGGACTTCCGTTCATCCTTCCCTCTGACCCTTTTTTTGTAGATGTGTTTCTGAATCACAACTCCCAGCATTCTTCATTATCGGCCAAGGTGGTTAGGAGTGCTGGAAGTGGCAGTTAAGCAATATCAGGACCTGCACAATTTGTCACATTTGAATTTGATGAATTGAATATCCCTCTTTCATCCTCTCCTCCGATTCCAAGGCTGAAGAACCTGACAGACCCCCTGTCCTGTAGCTGAGATACAACAAGCAGTCAGTCATCTGTGTACAGGTTATTCTCGACTTATGACCAAAATTGGGACCAGTAAGGTAGCTATTAAGTGAATGGTGCCCAATTTTACAGGCTTTTTTTTTTTTTTTGCCATGGTTAAGTCAGCCATTGTAGTTAAGTGAATTCAACTTCCTCCATCGACTTTGCTTGTCAGAAATCAGCTGGGAAGGTCGCATATAGCCACCGCACAATCCCAGGATACTGCAATCATCATAAATACAATGCTGGTTGCCAAGTGTCCAAATTTTGACCGTGTGACCGTGGGTTTGCTGAGATGGTTTTAAATGCAAGGACCGCATTTAAGTCATTGTTTTCAATGCTGTTGTAACTTTGAAAGGTCACTAAATAAAAGTTTGTAAATTGAGGAATTGTAGCAATTTGTCCCAAAAGTGCTTTTTCAAGAGGCAACTGGACTTTCTGGTTTTTCTTTGAAGATGTTTCGCTTCTCATCCAAGAAGCTTCTTCAGCTCTAACTGGATGGTGGGGAATGGAAGAATTTATAGTCCTTGCAGACAGCTGGCCATTTGTATCCTTTTAGTGGGTTGTTAAAGTCACCCAGAGGTTTATCTGTGTCATCAGGGTCACCTGAGTCGTGCAAATTGGTGTGGAGCCTTCTTGGAACTGTTGAAAGGACTGTGTTATAGACTGGAGAAAGATGATGTCGTATCCAACCCCCTTTGTTGAGAGAGGGCTGTTCAATTTTGACATAGATGGCCTCTTTAATCTCTCTTTCAAACCAGCAATCCTTTGTTGTCTTCAAAAGTGTGGCCTGTGACTTTCAAATGCAGATGGACTGCTGAATCTAGTCCTGATGTGTTTGTTCTCCTATGTTGTGCCATGCATTTATGAACTGGTTGTTTTGTTTCCCCAATGTACAGATCTGCACATGGCTTACTGTATTGTACTGCATATACCACGTTGCTCAGCTTCTGTCTGAGTGTTTTATCCTTGGGGTGATTATCCTCTGCCTTAGTGTATTCTTGGGTTTGAAGTGTGCACATATGTTATGTTGGCTGAAACAACCACTTCATAAATGCATGGCACAACATAGGAGAACAAACACATCAGGACTAGATTCAGCAATCCATCTGCATTTAAAAGACACAGATTACTCTTTTGAAGACAACAAAGCCCATATTTTGGACAGAGAGGATTGCTAGTTTGAAAGAAGAGTTAAAAAGGCCATCTATATCAAAATTGAATAGCCCTCTCTCAACAGAAAGGGAGGGATATGACATCATCTATCTCCAATGTGCAACATAGTCCTTTCAACAGTTCCAAGAAGGCTCCACACCAATTTGCATGACTCAGGTGACCCTGATGACACAGATAAAACTCTGGGTGACCTTAATGACCCACTAAAAGGATGCAAATGACCAGCTGTCTGCAAGGACTATAAATCCTTCCATTCCCCACCATCCAGTCAGAGCTGAAGAAGCTTCTTGGATGAGATGTAAAATGTCTTCAAAGAAAAACCAGAAAATCCAGTTGCCTCTTGAAAAAACACCTTTGGGATAACCATTCCCTGGATGACTGAGAATCTCCAGACATTATGTAGCAATTTAGATTCAGCACAGATGACTGCTGTTCAGAGGCACTCACAGGATCTGATGCTTTCAGCACTGTGAAACAGCTCTGCCCATGTTGTCTGCATGTGATGTCACAACACATGTACAAAAGAATTGAGCTTGCAATGTGGCATATACCCCTGCTTTTATCATTTGCCTCCCAGTTCCCCTTTATGGGCACCCATACTGCCAATTCAGAAGGTGCCAAGCCTTCAAGTATGCTAAGGGAGAGACACACAATGGAAATTGACACATCTCCTAGAGAGGAAAGGGCATTAGTTTTTCCACTTAGGCATGGCCTTGAACCCCAGGTCACTAAGATCATCCCCCAGCCTCTCTCTTCACATTGGAAACCACGCCCTGTTCCTCTGACCCTTGGCAGACCACATGACTTAAACTACGGCCTCCACAAGACCTGTTCTTCTTGGCCAGGAGTCTCCAAACTTGGCGTCTTTAAGATTTGTGGACTTCAACTCCTATAACTCCCATGCTGGCTGGGTAATTCTGGGAGTTGAAGTCCACAAGTGGCCAAGTTTAGAGATCCTGTTCTTGGCAATTGAAGCCCCAGCTATGAGTTACAGGCGAAAGGTATTTTCCGTGCAGGTCTTTCTCTGGCTAAATTCACAGACTGCAGCACCTCCATTTATTTATGACCAAACTAAACATAACAACATCGTTGGAAATGTGCTGATTGCTTCTGCTTGTTACCACTCACCCTAGTTTCTAGGGTTAGTACAGGTACTAATAACAATCATTTCAGCATAAAAGTACTTTAAAAAAAAATACACACAGCAGAACTGGAAGCATTCTCACCTCAACCCTAGACAGCAGGGAGTGCTCAGAGAGCTAAGTGCTCTAGTGAGGGAATCATGTGCTGGCAACCAGCTCTGTCCACTTTACCCCAGACTCACCCTCAAGGCCTGTCCCTCGGGAGTAGTGAATGGCTGAGCTGCTTCATCTGAAGGGGTCCCATTTTTTTGGCTGTTCTGCCGCTCCTGTGACACACGGGAGAAAGACGAGCAGGAGATGGGACAAGTCAGAAAATTCAGAGCTGGGAGAGAATTTTTGGGGTAGGAACAGCACAGGCATGGCCTATATAAAAAACATATCCTCTCTTGATGTCCCAAAGGTGCTTTTGGACTTTCTTGAGTTTTTTTGGGAGATGTTTTGCTTCTCATCCAAGAAGCTTCTTCAAAGTATCTTTGGGACAACCATGGCCTTGATGGTTAGGTGCTCCCAGGTCTCCAGAACAAAGATAGACCAGTTCCTTCCTCTCTCCTTCCTTTAAGCAGACTGTATCTTTTGATTTGGAGGAATTTTGTTTCCCAACGAGACGATGGCTCAAAACCTTCTTGAAGTCTTTGCTCTTTGTTTTGAAATGGCTAAAAGGAGCAGCCTGGGGTTAGCCCTTCACTGATGCAAAGTCAGCTCAGCTCATCTAGCCAATGGCCTGTTCTGAAAATGGGGGTGGGGGGCACTCCACGATTGGCAATTCCACCCCCTCCCCCCAACAAGCATTTTATATCACTTTTCAAAATGGAAAAGGGTTCAGGATTAGGGTTTTCTTCTACAGCAGATTCTTTGGAGGAATATCGGAAGGTGCTTTATTCCGAGTCAAAGTATGGCTCAGACTACGGCAGGGGTGCTGGCTGGGGGATTCTGGGAGTTGAAGTCCACAGGTCTTAAAGTTTCCAAGGTTGTACACCCCTTGTCTATAGCAATGTTGTAGACCTTCTTAAGAAATGCTAGGAAGTAAACAGGGTGTTTTCTGAATGCCTGTCGTGTGTTCTATCGCTGAGCTATGGCCCCTCCCTCTGATTCTCCTCTTGTAGATTCAACTGCACCGTAAGTGGCATCTGATGAAGGCAGTTTGAATCTCAAAGAAACATACATTCTTCGCAAGGGCAACACGTACAGGAGGGTGCACCACCACCCAAAGGAATGAAACTAAAACAGTTTAAAAATAGCTTTGGGCCATTCCACCCAAAAGAGGAAATAGACCAAAATATCTCTTGCAGTGCATCAACATGATAAATGACTCACTGCAAGCCCTGTTTTTCTTTTCCTTTTTCGTTTTTTTTTCCTTTTCCATCAGCTGCTTTATGTACCCTTTTGAAGAACAATTTTGGAGAACTCGGAAGCTTGCATTCCAAATTTTCCTGGCATTTGGGCTGATCCTGATAAAGACACTGCCCAACTAAGGATTTTTTTTTCCTCCCAAGAACTGGCAATGCTTGCTTGCCTTTTTTATAAATATATGTGTGGTAAGGGTGTGCTTTAAATATCTCTGCTACAGTCCAAGCACATGCAAAATAGCATGAGAAGATCTGTAACCTAAATAAGCATGCTTGTCTATTTTCCCCCTCTCTTCTCTGTGCTGGTTGAGAAACATCCTCCATCCTTTTATCAGTCATGCTGTTGAGTGACCGATGTTATAATGTAACATCTCTGTACAATCTCTTGTAGGGATAATTGATCTACTGTATATGAGTGTTTCCCAATCTTGGCTACTTTCAGATGTGTGAGTGGTTAGGGAATTCTGGGAATTGAAATCCACACATCTGAAAATGACTCAGATTGGCAAACACTGATCTCAATAAAGGAGAATATTTGTAATTCAGGTTTGAAATGAGGGGTCTTTGGTGCTCTCTGAGTGTCGTGTTTTCTTGCCAAAGTTTCATTATTCAGACTAGTAACATCATCAGTACTGATGATGTTACCTAGTTTGGGTAATGAAATGTCTACAAGAAAACAAGATGTCTACAAGAGCCTTGGTAGTACAGTGGTTTAATGCACCCTGTTATTAACACAGCTGCCTGCAATTTCTGCAGGTTCGAATCTTACCAGGCTCAAGGTTGACTCAGCCTTCCATCCTTTCTAAGGTAGGTTAAATGAGGACCCAGTTTGTGGGGGCAATAAGCTGACTTTGTATAAATATACAAAAGGATGAAGGCTATTGCTTAATGCATTGTAAACCGCCCTGAGTCTCCGGAGAAGAGCGGCATATAAATCAAATTTTAAAAAAAACAACAACAACTAAGCGCAGAGAGTACCCAGGGCCCTTCACACACTGATTTACATGTAATGTAAACTCTTAAAACTCTGCCTTTAAGTTTCTACAACAGGATTGCCAATTATAATAAATGTCTCAAAAGGCTCCTTGCTCTCACCAGTACAACAGGGTAGATTGCTGAAGGCGGCAGGATATGGTCTCTAAGATTCCCGCAATCACAGGTGGAAGTCATGAGAGGTAGGCACTCATCATGAATCTAGAAGATCAAGATACAAAGCAAGTGTTTCTCAATGCCATGCTGAAGGCACTGAAAAAGGGCAGAGACACCCCCCAAATCCCAGGTTCCATTTGACTTCCTTCTCCCAGGGAACATCAGTTTGGGTTCAACACTTATAATTTTGTCTTCTATATCACAAAGCAAGAGAAAAAAACCCCCCACTATTTTGAGTTGATTAAAAAAATTGATGTGTATAAAAAACTAAATTCTAATTTTGGAAGAAATGATAGCAAGCTCTTTGAAGATGCCTATATGAAAACTAGGTATGCTGATATGAAAACAAATTCGATGCTTATGCAAAAATGATGTCTTTTAAAGGGAACTTGTTAAACAATGGCCTCATTTATGTCTCTGCTCTTCTACCCCAATATCTAACTATATCCATGAAAGAGTCAGTATGCAAAACAATGTAAATCTATATCCTGAGAAATAAACTGGAAAATCCCAACGATCTCCAAAATACATTTGTGTACATTTGTATTTAGAGACAATATCTCTAAAAATGGGGAAACATAGTTTCAGATTGCATGAAAATTATCTAGATGTGGCAAAATTTCCATTGGGTCACCACAAATTTTGGACAGTTAAGCCAGTGGTGAAATCCTCTGCAGATTGCCACTGGTTCGCTGCCGGCACATGCGTGGTGCACACCAAATGCATGCTGAGCACACACACAGTACACGCCGAACACACGCTGCACACGCATGCATGCACAGTTCATGCCGAATGCATACTGCACGCGCATGCGTAGTGTGAGCCAAACACGCACTTTGCATGGAAAAAGGAGGCTTAACAAGGTAAGTAGAACAGCGGGGGGGGGGGAACAGCTGTGCCGCGTGATTTAGATTCGCTAGAAAGCAGGATTTCCTGCTTTCTAGCGAATATAAATCACGCGGCACAGCTGGTCATCGGAAATACCGGTTCGGACAAACTGCTAGCTTTTTTTCACTACCGGTTCGCCCAAACCGGTGCGAACCGGTAGCATTTCACCCCGAGTTAATCTATGAATAGGCAAAGAGTAGATGTGGTTTCTGCTCTTTTGAAACCCTCATTTAAATCCTCCTTTCCAATAGTATTTCTCTAAATTTTCCTGCAGGGCAAATGAATTTTTCTTGCATATGAACTACTATGTTTTCCCGAAAATAAGACCCGGTCTTATATTTTTTTTGCCACCAAAAAAGGCACCAGATCTTATTTTCGGGGGTGTCTTCACCTCATGGTGGTGGCACTGACAACCCCACCCAGCAAGAACCTGCTGCCAGCCCACTTCTACCGTGGCCGCTTGTCACCACTTGTGCACGTTGCCCCTAGCCTCCGTTTTGCTGTCAGAGGCCTTCAGTAATGGCCTCTGCAGCCAAGAAACGGGCTCCGGATTGACGTACACGGTGCCCATCGGCCTTATTTCACCATCAGAGGCCTTCCGGAAAGGCCTCTGCAGCTGAGAAATGAGGTCTGCATTGATGCGTGCATTGCCCCCAATCTCCATTTTGTCATCAGAGGCCCTTTGGGATAGGCCTCTGCAGCCAATAAAACAGCTCCAGATCGATCCAGAGCTCTGTTATCGGCTGCAGAGGTCTTTCTTGAAGGGCCTCTGATGACGAAACGGAGATTGGGGGCAATGCATGCATCAATGCGGACCTCATTTCTCAGGTGTAGAGGCCTTTCTGGAAGGCCCCTGATAGTGAAACGAGGCCAGGGGGCGCCACATGCCTCAATCTGGAGCCCATTTCTCAGCTGCAGAGGCCTTTCTGAAGGCAGGGAGTGACGCACGCAAGTGGTGGCAAGCAGCCGCAGAAGTGGGCCAGCAAGGCAAGGCAGGTGTCGGGGTGTGTAAGGCCTGGTAAGTAGGGCAGTTCCACCCCCTCATCCCCACCCTAGCTTAATTTTTACCTGTGCGCCTTGCCCCATCCCATGCACCCCGGAGTGCATGGGGCCTTAACTAGGGCTTATTTTGGGGGTGTGGCTTATATTGGGCGTACGTGTAAAAATCAAGCTAGGGCTTACTTTCAGGGTGAGTCGTATTTTCAGGGAAACACAGTAGCTATAGAATAAGAGCCATCTAATGAAAAGCCCCTCCTGATTTCTGATGCCAGAATCCCTTTTTAAATCAAAACATGGAGTCACGAGTAGCTTGCCTTTTGATGGCACCAGACACAGTGCATGCCTGTGAGACTCTGGAAACTCTTGATCTTCTTTTGACACTTGTCACACTTATTGCCGTCACAGCCTCCTCTTACCCAAACGTGTGCTTGCACCTACAGGAGGGAAGTGAGGAATAATGAAATCTGGGGAGAGAGAGAGAGAGCAACAGAACTCAGCCCCCTCAAGCTACAAATTTCTACCTTCCTGACACTCTTCAAAAGGAAGTTCTAAAAAACTGAAACGGGGACAAGGGAACGGATGCGAACTAGAACTCCTGGGATCTTCCTGATATTCTCATTCACATTCTCTTTTTGACATTGTCATTTTCATTCACAGGCAACTTAGTTAAGAGTAAGAATGCTTTAAATTCTCCAAAGCACCAGTTGAAGTTTTGATCACTCACTAAAGTCTTCAGGATTAGACAACAGCATGGGTGGGCAACTGGCAGCCTCACATGGTTCCTCTGGCCTCTTTACTTGCTGCTGAGGGTTTATTGCTACAGGTAGTCCTTGACTTATGACAGGTTGTTTTATGACAGTTCGAAGAAGCAACAGCCATAAAATGTGTGCTTTGCAGCCTGTAAAGAACCCCCAGCTGTTGTAAATGGTTGCCCTGCCCTTCTCCATGGTCATGTGATCACATGTCGAGCAGGTCAGATTTATCGCGGCATTGTGCAGTCACACGACCACAATTCACACTAGATTTTGCCAGTTTCTGCCATTTTTTGCAGGTTTCCGGCAAAAACATTTATTTAAATGAATGGGTGTGCTTAATGACCGCAGTGTTTGCTTAATGACTACCATGAAAAAGGTTGGAAAATTACTTCCCATCACATGGGTGCCTCGACTTATGATTATAATGACTTACAACTGGATTTCTTGTCCCAATTACGGTCATAAGTTGAGAATTACCTATAATTTGAAAAATAGTAGCAAAAATACATAAAGGTTTCTTATCTGTTACCATGCCACACTTCTGGAAATACCTTGGAGTTACCCTATAGTAAGACAGACGGCTAATAAATTTGATTGATAGATAGATAGATAGATAGATAGATAGATAGATAGATAGATAGATATAGACAGACAGACAGACAGACAGACAGACAAAATACCTAATTAGCTACTACCAGAAACATTATATCTTTTATTTACTTTTAAATGAAATATTAATTTAGGCAAGTTTGTCTTTTTCAAAACATTGCCCTTTTGGTTGCCATCTACTTTTTTCCTGTCTCCTGGAGGAATGAATGTATTTCCCAGCTTGTGTTGCATGCTGAGAGACATTATGTCTCTCAGCATGCAACACAAACTGGAAAATACATTCATTCCTCCAAAAGACTTCTAGAGGCGGTTATGACATTAATACCAAAGCCAAGGAAGGGCAATCAGTCAAAATAAAAAGGAACAAAAAAAGAGAGGCTATTTTGATCTCACATACTGAGGGCTAGAAATAGGGGTCCCACCCTAGACTTCTTAGAAGAATGAAAGGATGGGTTGGGAAGATGAAGGAGCCAATAGAAATGGAAAAAGCAGAAATCCTGGATAAGGAAGGCAGAAATAGAGAAGTCTGGCTGATGGATGCAGAACAGTGGTAGTATTCAGCCAGTTCTATCCGGTTTGAGCGAACCAGTAGCGGCGGCTGTGGGAGGCTCCACCCACCCGCCTGGACATTATCATGTCCTGTTTTTGACGCTCTGCGCATGTGCGGAAGGCCCTGTGCGTGCGCTCACATTTGCGAACCAGTAGCGAAGGTGAGAGAATACTACCCCTGGTACAGAATCCGTCCTTGCTGGGTTACTCACGTTGGTGTCACGGCGGTTCTTAGCATAGGTGCTGATACAGCTGAGAGGAGCCTTCCGAGCACAGCGCTCATGCACGATGTACTTACAGACTGTGGGCGAAAAGGAAGATGGATTCAATGAGATGCTATGGTAGTAGGAACTAAAGAATCCCTGATATCCCCCAAGCAGCAGCTTCTCTACCTAAAATCTGATCCTATGAGCTTAGTGTAACCTCTCCTTTCCTCCCCTCTCTTCCCATAGCTTCCTCACCCTTATTATTTTGTTGAAACACGGTTTTTTTCAAGCATCTATGTTTTTTTTCAAACATAGAGATTCATACGAAACAGCTGAACTGCTCCATTGCAATCCTGGATAAAGGATCCCATGAGCCAGCAACAGATAAGCATGGAAGGCCTGGTGAAATGACCAGCAGCCTTTAAAAAAAAAAAATCCAGCTAGGCAAAAAATCAAATTGGAAAAAATCTGTGGGGAGAGATCCGTTCAGGATCGGCATCATCACAGGCAAAATTGGAGAAGGTTGAGGCATTCTGAATCTGTTTCTATCACGTTTATCTCCAGACAAGACTTTAAAGAACCAGAGGAGGAATTTCTCAAGAATTCTTGCTTTTCCCAGGACCATTTTGGAAGTTTGCCCAGAAAAGAAGGTTAACCGGCTATGAAATCTCTCTTCTATGTTCACATGACTTGGCTGACCACAAAAGATTAGCTTTTGTAGGATAAAAGCAAGCCTCTCTGACCCCACTGCCGATTTAAATATTTGCATGACACACTAACCTGTTTAACAATCCAGTTTAGTGCGTGATGAGAACACAGTTAAAAAGAAACTCTTGGAAAAGAGAAGACGAGAATTCAGCATAGTTTTCTCTTTTGGTTTAAGGTCAGCATTGGTTCTTAGACCTTCTGCTAAGCAGATTGTGGTTGAAAGATTTCCACCTTTTCTAAATAACCAAGCTGCAATTGTTTTGAATTTGGAATGCTAAGGAGGATTTCTGAGATGGCATTTTTCTTTCTCTCACTGAATATTTTATAAACATCCAGAGAAAAAATTGCCAGATTGTTCAGAGGCAGAAAAAGCTACTTTTAAACTTCTAGATGGCCAAATCATACAAATACTCCAAGTTCTCAGGAAGAAATAGCCCTGAACAAACAGCCCTGCACTTGCTGTGAGTACAGAACGCACACATGTACACATATGTGCAATGCATCTAAAAATATTTTTTAAACAGATGCTTATTTAACAAGGGAGGAAAAATCCTCAAACGTATCCAAATGGAATTCATAACAGAATTCTTTTGCATCTGTTTTAAACTAAGAATATACAAAGATAAATCCTTCTTCTGCATAAATTAAGTTACTGCCATTATGCATGCTATGCTGCATGCACTTAACGACTGCTTCATAAATATTTTTGTCAACATAATTAGTGATGGGCAATGTTAATGTGTTCCAGCAGGTGGCAGCATGGGGCTGACCTTGCCTAGCTCAGAAACCAGCCAAATTGAGAAGACTGGATTAAAATTTAAATGGGAGCCCATCACAGAATAACCAGGATTGGAAGATAGATTAGGAAATGAAAAAAAAGAAAATCCCCAAACTGACAATAGCAAATAGCTTTTTTGTTGCTATTGAGAGAACTGCAGGGTTCAGTCCACACAATCACTGGAAATTGAGCCTGACTTTACCACTAATTTTTACCACATCTTTACCACATCTCACCATCCAAAGCCTATGCAGTCTTGTGAACCAGGTTTCATAGGAAGTTTCTGCTTTCTTTTACAGTGTAGTTAAGGCACCAAGCTAGAAACCAGGTTTGTGAGTTTTAGTCCCACTTTAGGCATGAAAGCCAGTTGGGTGATTTTGGGCCACTTGCTCTCAGCGTAATGCACCTCACAGGGTTGTTGTGGTGTGGAAAACAGGAGGAGGAAGGAGTACAGGTAGTCAGCAACTTACAACAGTTCATTTAGTGACCATTCAAAGTTACAATGTCACTAAAAACGCGATTTACAACTGTTTTTCACAGTTACGACATTTGCAGCATCCCCATGGTCATGTGATCAAAATTCGGATGCTTGGCAACTGGCTCATATTTATGACCGTTGCTGTGTCCCCAGATCATGTTGCAACCAACTGACAAGCAAAGTCAATGGGGAAGCCAGATTCAATTAAAATCCGTGTTACTAACTTATCAACTGCAGCGATTCACTTAACAACTGAGGCAAGAAAAGTCGTAAAATGGGGCAAAACTCAACTCAACAAATGTCTCTCTTAACAACAGAAATTTTGGGCTCAATTGCGGTAGTAAGTCGAGGACTACCTGTATGAGGGATGTTTGCTGCCTTTAAATTATCAAAATAATAAAGGTAGGCCTTATAAATAAAGAGCCACAGGACGACAGTAATTCTCAAGGAGGATCAGACTTTATGACATAACAGCTACCTTGCCCACTGGAGATTCCAGTTTTTTCTAGGTGTCTTTAGATAGGGCTGGGAAAGCTACTGAGGCCAATTCAGTCAGAGCCATTGACAGCCAGGGCTGACAAATCTAGGTGAGATGGATCAATGAAGTGACCTGGAACATTGCAGCTTCTCATTTGATCTATGAGGATGTCTGCTAAAGCAGCAGCTGGAGGAAACATTCTCCTTCTGCTTCCACCATGAAATCAGTCTCAGCTCCCTTGAAGGGCTGGAAGCCTGAGCCCCCAGGAAGAAAAGGAGGAAGGCCATCTCCCCTCTTCCCACACAACCCCAGGACAGAGCAACACACTCACAAGTACAGCGCAGCCCCTGCTTGCGTAGCCCCAAGAGCAGCGTCTCACACACGTTGCAGTAAACAGGGCGGTTAAAATGCTTCAGGCGCCACAGGTGCTGCCCATCGTCTTTCATCGTCTGAAGCAATGGAGAAAGTTGGCAATTAAGGAAGAGGCTTGTGGGGGGGATGACTGGTTTGGGGGCCAAAGGGAAGGGGAGGCATCGAGGCTCCCTGAGTGGGAACAGAAGATAGAGGTAGAGACAGGATTTGAGTTAAAAGTTGTTGTCTTTCCTGAGCACAAAAGTAATATTGCTTTTGGAACATGCATGGAATGGCTTGCACCTAAATGCCCATTCTGGTGTAGTAGTTAAGGCACCGAGTTGGAGCCTGGAAGTTCTAGTTCTGCCCTGAGGTGCAAAGCAAGCTGGGTGACCTTGGGCCAGTCGTTTTCTCTCAGCCCTAGGAAGCAAGCAATGGCAAACCACTTCTGAAAAATGCTGCCAAGAAAACTGCAGGGGCTGGTCCAGGCAGCCTCCAAGGATCAAGACACAATTGAATGGGTGGGTGGGTGGGTGGGGCTGAATGCCCATTGTATTCAAGCAATTAGATTGCTGTGGAGAAACTTTCAACCAAGCTCACTCTGCGACCACACAGCTGTGCTGTCAGGGAAAATTAGGACCCTTTTTAATCTTGCACCTCCCATGGAACACACCTGCTCAGACCACTTTTTCCTGCTGTTCTTCTCCTGCCTTCTACTTGTTCCTAGCCCAAGAGTGAGGTGGCCTTAAATCCCCCTTAGCTGTTTGACTAATGTTTCCCCTTTAAGCCAACCCACAGCCAAAGCTGTAAAATCGGTTTGTTTCACCATTCATTACCTCGGAGGTGAAATCTAGCACTCAGCTGCAGGTTTTATGGCCATTTTGGGATGATGCTGTCCTTCCCCTTCAGTCCCCAGCCAGCCTTACATGCATTTATTCTGCTGCAGTCCCCAATGGAGCTGGAGAGAGCAGCAGCATTGCAAACAGCCCTCAACTACGGAATCGACATTCCTCTAAGAGCTTTAACTCCGTGGCCCCTACTAATTTAGGGCAAGGCTGACATAGCAGAACAGTGGCATGCCAGAACACCCCCAGGCACACAGAGAAATGGTTAATTCCTTGTTTGTTGTCTTTAGAAAAAGGGAAACAAGGGGAGAAACATATTAAGTAAAAGTGCTGCTTGTGACTCAGTTCTCTGGGTGATTCTGAATTATTATTATTTTTTTAAATGTTTAATTTGATTCACCCCGGAGTAGAACAGAATGGGAGGTAGGAGCAGCATCGCTGGAAGGCACCTAGAGGTGAGAATTTTCCAGCCAGACCAGCAGTCCTTCTCTAGTGTCATGATGGGAAGGGGCAGGAAAAGCAAAGAAATCAACCAATTATCACATGTCGGACAAGGAAAATCAAAAGCCACTTTCAACAGTAAGTTAGAAGAACTAAGGCAAAACGAGGCCTTTGTCCTCTGCACTTACCGCCTCCAGTCCAAGTAGCACCAGGAGGGGGACGGTGGTGGCACCGCCGCGGAGCCATTCGGAGAGAGACACAGTACCGCTGCTGTCATAATCAATTTCACGCATCATCTCCTGCAGGATCTGAGAGGGGGGAAGGGGAGATCCGAAAAGGAGAGCCTTAGGAGGGATCCATTTCAGTGCTTGTTCCAGTCCATTTGTCCCAAACTGATGTGCAACCCTCATTTTTAGGAGGAACATTTCAAGACAGCTTGTCTTTCTTTGTCAAAGAGGCACCCAACGAGCTACAATTATCTACAGCATAAGGCAGGAACCGCTCTTTCTTCATGCACAGCACTGAATTGGTTCCTCATCCCCAGGTCTTTATTTATGCAAATCTTTAAAAAAACAGATCTGTTAAACAAAGTGAAAAGAAACCCAAAGTTAAGATAATGCTGTATCTAAAATAGAACTAATCATGTGCCTCCAGATTTAGGACAAGCTATCCTTCGCCATAAATAATTCAGACAATAATTCGGGATATAGAAATGTGATAGATACATATACAAAAAGTATAATGATCCCTCATGCCTATCCAGTATCCCCCAGCCTTCTGTACACATATCTGAATGGCAACAACTATTGAGCAGAAACATGGAATAAGAGTTTTTTTTTTTCTAAGCATTCCATTTCTTGCAAAAAAACAAAAACTGACAAAAACAACAATCACCCTTCCCACAAATCCAGAAAACTCTAAACCTCTTTCATCTCTTAATAGAAGCAAAAAAGGAAATCACAATTCTATTAGGTAAATCCCATTAACTAAATACTGATTCTATATACAAAAGTCATATCCGGCTTTATCTCATTTAGCTGTAGATTTCCTTCCCTTCCAACTGTCTCCTAATCTTTCCTCCTTAATGCACACAATATGAGCTCTTTCCCTTTTTGGTGTTATAGCAAAAATTGTTGTTAATAGCAACCCTGGTGTCAGGCTCCAAAAACTAAGAAAGACATGCTGAGTTTCCTTTATTGTTCCACACCTATACACAGAAAACTTGCCAAACTAAAGCAACAACTTGCGTTGTTAAAGATATATCTTGAGAACTCCTAGGGCGGAACTGACTTGATCCTCTTCCTCCCAACCAATCTATCTAAATCTTGCTGTCTCTTAGTCCTCTGGAATGCACGCCCTCCCTCCTGGGAATCCAGATTACGTTCCACCGCACCCAGTTCTAGAGCCCAACATAGACACTTTCATTCTGGAGCCAACAGAGCCCATCATGGTGATTATACGTTGGAGGTAGATGGGGAAGGGATAGATGAAGCAACTGAAGGAATTCCGCACTTACTGGTTTAAGCTCAGTGACATCCCAGTCCAGATATTCAGCTACGCGCATCATCTGCGTGATGATGCGATCTACCTCCTAGAGAGAAGAAGACAATTTAGGACCAGAATTAAATTCCAGTGGTTCATATGGAAGGGCCAGCATTTGCTAGTCCGGCACCTCTTATTGTGTTAGACCAGAGTCTTCAAACTTGGCAGCTTTAAGACTTGTGGACTTCAACTCCCAGAATTCTCCAGGCAAATTCTGGGAGTTGAAGTCCACAAGTCATAAAGCTGCCAAGTTTGGGGACCCCTGTGTTAGAGCATGGGTCCCCAGAGTTCCTAACAAGGGATGTCCTTGGTATTGTAGCCAAATATATCAAAAGGAAGAGTACTATTGATGAAGACTGACCTAGAGGGATAAGTTTAGAACTCAGATGAAAGCAGGTGTCCCCAATTTTTATCAGAGAACAGAAAATGAGTCAGACAAAAGCAATATATCCTAGCCTGTTGAAAATGAGATATTTTGCTTTTCCCAGGAGATGCAGTGATGGGGGCATGCAGCTGTTTAATTACAAGAGAGCAAATTTCTTCTCCCTCCCAAAGGCTCCATGGGATGTGGTCTCCAGAGTACCTTCAAAGTTTTTACCAAAATATCATTTATAATATGAAAGGAGGGGAAACCTCATTCCAAAAACATCTAAGAGTTTCTTCTAGCTGCATTTAATTAACTTGATTTAAGGGTGATTACATTTATACTTACATTAAATCAAACCAAATTTAATTTTTGTTGTGGCCTCACCACAGCCCTTGGAGCACACTGCTGAAAAGCCCTGTGTGGTCCTTGAACCAAAAAAAAGATGGTACCTTTCGGTGCTAAACCAACAGGAACCAACAAAAATCAGATTGATATATACTAGCACAGGAGGCTGTCAGCTATATTACAGTGGGTTGCATTACTTTATAAAGATTTGTATGAAAAGATTTGGTGTCAAAATATTTGGGCCTTCTCTGCCACAAAAAGCTGAACACAGTGGTGTGTGTGTGTATATGTGTTGTGTGGATAAACCAATTTTTCTGTCTGAAGTGGAGGAAACAAGAACAGTGAGACTCGATTCCAAAACTCTATAATCTTCTAACGGCCTCATGCTACTTACTGAATTGTCAAGAAGACCGTTTCCATCTTTGTCATAAAGCTTGAAGGTGACTGTGGGAGGAAAAATGGAAATCAAAAATAGCAGCTTCTAAACGAGGGATCACCAAATACACAAGTCTCTGCCTTCACCCTCTTGCTCCAGGCCTCTTCCCTCAGGAATACTATTTCATCAAGGCTTTTCATTTGACCTTACTTGAGGGAGGCAAAGCATATTACTAAAGCAGGCTTCTTCAGTTTGACAGCAAGATCAATTTCTTTTGCAGAAACCCAGCATAAATCCCCAAATGTTTTAAAATGTCAGTTTTCAGAAAGTATTTCAAAAGACTTCTACAAATTTAAAATATCAGAGGCATTCTTGTGTTGATAAAACTGTATGAGCTTAAGACTGATGCCAGCAGAAGAATTATAATTATCCTACACAAACGGGAGGTGAACATGACTACCCAGAACATACTAAAGAACGCTACCCTTCTGCATATCCAGCCAATTAAATCCTCTTTCATAGTAGAGTGAGTAAAAATTAATCAAAATTATATATACCTATGATAATATATTTGGCGGATGACTCTTGGGAGACGAAAATCATATTTATGTGTGAGGGAGGAAGGGAGGGAGGAAGGAAGGAAGGAAGGAAAGAGATATTTTAAAGACAGCAAGTTGGTTCTCTGTCCTGAAGAATTACCAAAATCAGATTTTCCCAGTCAAAATGTGCCTCCGTCAAAAATCAAGCTCTGAACTGAGACCTTTGGCTGCTATTCTGCTCTCTTGATCCTTTGCAGTACTCACATTCCAGTTTGTCTTCGGGCCTCCCACCTTCTAGCAGTGAGAAGTAACAAGAGACGTCATTGACGCAAACAAAACCACTGGCTGAAAAGCAGAGAGAAACACTGGGATAAGTAATCCTTCATCCACAAAACTGCTAGATATTCCGGCTGCCTAACCCAACCCTCATCAAAGAGCTCCTCACTAAAAATTGGATGGAGGGGGCAGAAATGATGCAAACCCACCCTCTTCCCCAAACCCTCAGAGAAAGGTCAATATTTTACGTGAGGCAGTTTGCCAAGACGACATACCTGGCTCTTTTGTGGTTTGTCCTGCCGTGGTCTGGAAAGACATGAAGAGGTGACAGCAAAGTTCAACCGAGATCTCCTCTGCTTCCAAGTAAGTTTTCAGGAAGAGCTTGAAGCCTTCAAAGTCTATTAACTGAGAACAGCATTATCAGAGAAATAAGCCAAAGCCAAAGAGGAATCACAGCTACTGACATTCCCTATTGATTGTGCCAAAAAGTGGAGCTTTGACTCAGCTAATAATGTGTCACTTCAGTGCTAGATATATTACTGCATACACGGAATGGTAAAAATGTTATTTCTCATTTTAATGGGAAACAGGATGGCTGTTCCCCATTGTTTGGTTGCTACTGGAACTAATGAAATTGTGATTAATGGACCCAGAAAAAAAATCACTGCATATACTTCAAACAAGAAGAACATGTGGAGTGATGGGGGTAAGAATGGGGAGGGCAGGTTTAGGTAAGCCCTAGTAGAGCTGTTGAATGTCAGAATATAGGAAGGGAGGCTGGAGTCAGTTTTAGGATATATGTCACCTTATGTGTCCCTATGCGAACAGAAGGATGGCGTTTAAAGATAGCAAAATAAATCAGTAAAATTGCCAAAAGGGATTTGGGGGGGGGTCACAAATCCGTATCTGACATTTTGGTTAAAAAGCTACTTCACTGCAGATGAAATTGCAAGAATCACACACAGAGGCTGGAAGGAGGACCTGAGTGGCTGCCACATGACTGACTTTTGTACTTCTGAACGTGTTCAGTTTACACAAAGGAATGGGAGAAATGTCAGATCTGAGAATAATGTAATGTAGTTGGAGGATTCACCAACATCTCAGAAGGCAAGAATAAACCCTCAAATAATTGGCAGAACAGAAAGCCAAACACCAAGGCCACATTCTGGGTGACGGGGAGAGGAAAAACAGCACACCAAGATAAATAGTAGAAAAAATAAATTTAATTAATGAACAAAAAGAAGAGCCAGAAGCACAACCAAGCTGCAGTATTAAATACTTGGGTGTAATTCCAAAACAACCGGATCACCACTTGAACATTATTGGCATTGACAAATTCAACATCAGTCAATTGCAAAAGGCACCTTTACTTAAACCATCTTACGTCCTGCAATGATACCTTTAATGCCATCAAACATCCACATCTGCCTCACCCAGACCCTTGGGAAGACTCAGTAGGTGGATAAAAATGCCAAATCTAGTCTCAACATCGGGCTGACTGTGCGATGAGCCATAAAATAACAGTAATACTTTAGACTGTACTTGAAGTTATGCTTTCGGTTCTGGGCAAGAAACATTTTGAAAGGATGTAGGACAGGAGCTAGACAACGCAGTGCTTTCCAAATGTTTTGGCCTATAACAACTTCTTGTTATTGGTCATGCAGGCTAGAGCTGAATCCAAAATATTTGAAAGTCACCATGTTGCCTACCACTGATACAGACACAACGAAAGTGGCTCAGAGGATGGCAACAAAGACACTTGGGAGTGCAGAAAATAAGGAAGAAAGATGAAAGGAGATGATTATTTATAGCTGATGAAGAGAAGACCAAGAAGAGGATATGAAAGCCCCTCAGGTAAGAATTATCATACAACAGTGGGTAAAGGGTTATTCTCTGCTTCTGCAGGGAGTAGAACCAGATCTAGATTACAAAATGTCATAATCTTTAGAGGTTTAGGTTTACATGTTACAAATGAATCAATTACTTGGGAAGTGGGGGGTTCTTGTCTGCTGGAAATCCTCAATCAGAATCTGACATATCTTTGGGCTCCAGCACTGGATTTCTTGCTCGGAGTTGGGGATTGGACTACAAAGCACTCGCTGTCATTCTATGACTCTGTCTGCACAGCACAGCTGATCCAGTTAGTATGTCGCTTCCATATGCCATCAGCAGACCATCTGGAATAGCTGGGTCAGGCAGCAACTGTGTTATAGCATCCCCCACTCCCAACTGCTTACAAGGGAGGCTGGAATACGAGCATTTCTCTTCCCACTTCCTGCAATTTTTTATTTTCCTCCAAGAGTCATGGATTGGGTAATTTGAAGATTGTGCTACCCTGGATAGGCTCTATAGAGCCACATTCTACCTTGTTTGTTCTACTTCTTGTTCTCATGCACAACACTCCCCCGCCCCCCCCTGCCCCCGGTGTGACCAAAGACTAAATAGCTAAACAGACAAACCATCTCTCTAAATGCTGTTCCATTTTCATGGGTCTCTCTAGTACAGTGTTTCTCAACCATGGTAGCTTGAAGATGGGTGGACTTCAACTCCCAGAATCCCCAAGCCAGCAGCGCTGGCTGGGGGATCCTGGAGGTTGAAGTCCACCCATCTTCAAGCTTCCAAGGTTGAGAAACACTGCTTTAGGACATCATCTTGATCACCAACACTGATCATTAACCTTTACAAAGTGTGGTTATGACATGGCAGAGTGAATTGATAGAGGATTGGTTGAGTTGCAAATAAGATCAGGTCTCTTTGAAGCTAAATCTAACACACTCTGGGTCACACAGCTGAGGTTTAGAATTTACACGACACTTTTACTGCCCTCCAGGACATCCCATGATGCAGCTAAGCATCATGGAAAGCCAGAATTTATGTGTGAAAGACAGAAGACACCCAAAACGGTACATAAGTTTGGAAATATGTTGTACTGATTTGCAGAGTCGCCTTGCCGGTAAACACTTAAGGCAACTATACAACCTAACAAGGCAAAAGATGGAGATATTTGCAGGAAAGGAAGAGGAAGATACTCACATCCTCTTGCCGATGCTGAGACAATGTACCCTCTCCATAAAATTCCTTCAGCACATCCTGCACTTTCTTGCTGCTATCTGTGGAGAAAGGAACAATGAAGACTGACAAGGAAAAAAAAAGTGTAGGAATTCTGATACAATTCATGCTATAACCAGGAAATGTGTCAGGCATGACATTTATATTGGCCAACAATTAGAACTCTTTGAATTCTGTCCTAAGTTTCAAAGTGATTTGAACTCGGAAGGTTGCAATGAGGCATCCAATCCAGCTGATGCAAATTAAAACCATTCTTAACCTGGGGTGTTAAAATATGAGGTATCTAACTTGTAGAATGAATGGGTGGCCCAAGAATTTAAATTCAAGATAAGCCAAAGTTAAAGAGTATCTTGTTTAGCAGATTCCTCAAAAACAAAGATTATCCCTTCCTTGATATTTGTCTCTGGACGCTCAACTGATTTGTACATACCACATGAGATATCAAGCTAATGCTACTGAGTTTGGGGGGAAGGGAGTGGAGGGAGGGAACAGATGGACATGGGGTAGCACAAAAGAATTATCCTATGAGCCTTCCTGGGACCGGCAGAGAAATGGCTGCTTTTCTTTTCTCAATGCTCAAGTAAACCAGATTTAAGTTCTAAGGAGTTGGTATGACCTCTGATTTTAGAGAGGAAGTTCTAGCTTTAACAGGTCCTGCCTGTCCATGCCTCTATTCCTATCAGGGGCTAAGAGAAGACTATTGGTACAAGGGGAGAAAGAAAAGGACTCACAGTCAATATACTTCTGCAGCTGAGTGAACTCCTCTGGGCTGAGGGTGGCCCACTCCTTGCCGTCAGACATGATGCTGTTCTTGCTCCAATTTATGTCTGCAAACAGAATAGTCAGGAGATGTCATTAGACAGCAGGGGACGAAGATGAAACGGGCAGAGAAGATGCTCTCTGGGCACACAATCTCTCTCTCTCTCTCTCCCCCTTGGTAGTCTCCTCACATTCTCCGGACTGATCCGCTGAGCCAGCACATTCTTCCCTGGCACAATTGGCTTCCGGAGCAGCAACCGGGAATTTGGCCATGGCACAGGCAGCCCCTGGAGAGGCAAGATTCCAGCTGCACAAGCTGAGAAAGAGAGACGTACCGCCGGCGGATTTAACTCCTGGAGAAACGCAGAGATGCCAAAGGCTTTGCTCCTGATGCAGGTGGAATCCCAAATGAAGCCAAGCCAAGCAAAAAGAAGCCGGCGGCGTTGGGGCATCGCCCAAAGGAGGAAACATGTTGCACAGCAGCTTTTTAATCTGGACAAGCTCACGCATTCAGCCTGTTAAAGGGACAGTCCCCAATTACCTGCATAGGTGGGCGAGCAGCTGGCAGAGCAATTGCTACACCTTTTGCCCCAGGGCAAGCCCATTTTTCAGAGACCCCTGCAGGGCTGGGAAATATAGAGGGATCCAGAGGACAGGCAATAGGTACTCAACGAGATCATCCAAATCGAAGGTGGAAGGAAAAGCAGTTTGGGATGTGATTGGGATCAATTTAGCAATTTATACCAGTCTGCTGCAGAGAGTGCCAAGTTTGATCCCATTAAAATTTAATGGAGGTTTTGAGTGTTATTGGCGGAAATGCCACACATTTTACAGAGATACAATCCTGGCAGTGAGTGCAGGGAAGATTTGCAGGAAGCTGTTGGAGGGGGCATGTTTTGGCAGCTCACTTAAAGGAGAAAACTGCTATCAACTGAGTACAACTGAGAACATGTCATAATCCGGCATCCTCAACCTGATGCCCATAGACACCAGCAAGCCTGCAACATTCTCACTTCTCCATCCCAAGTACAGGTAGTCCTTGATTTGCAACCATTCATTGGGTGACCATTCAAAGTTACAACGGCACTGGAAAAAACGACTCAGGACCAGTTTTCACACTTTTGACGGTTGCAGAATCCCTTTGGTCATGTGATCAAAATTCAGAAGCTTGGTATCTGGCATGTATTTATGACGGTTGCAATGTCCCTGGGTCATATGATCCCCTTTTGCAGCCTTCTGACAAGCAAAGTCAATGGGGAAGTCAGATTCACTTAACATAACATAACATACCAACTATAATGATTCACTAAGCAATTGTTGCAAGAAAGATTGTAAAATGGGGCAAAACTCACTTAACAACCGATGGAAAACTGGGGCTCAAATGGAATTGTAAATTGAGGACTATCTGTAAAATGCTCATCCTGGTCTTTTAAAAATCCTTTTAGTTTTAAATTGTTATTGATCAGTTAATTTGTGAGGACAGTATGCCACAAAGTAGAACCACAGCTTCCAGTGCCAGCTTTATTAACAAGAATGTTTTTGGATCCTGCCTCTTTAAAATACATTAAAACTGTTGTTAGCCACTGAATTTCTTATCTGTGAGTTCCACAGATCTCATCTCAAAGGTTAGGGTTAACATACGTGCCTCTATTTTTTCACTCTTTCTCTCTTTCCACATCGAACAACCACAATTGGGACTGAAACTTACATTGCTTAGCAAGCCAGTCATTAAATGAGTAATGCATAATTTCACAACTTTTTATGCCATGGTTATTAAGTGACTCACATGTACATTAAGCAAATCATGCTTCTGCCATTGACTTTGCTTGTGAGAAGTTGGCTGGGAAGATCGCAAATGGAGATCATATGACCTGGTTGCCAAGCACCCAAATTTTGATCACATGACCACAGGGATGCTGCAAAGGTTGTAAGCATGAGGACTGGTTGTAAGTCACTTTTTTCAGTGCTGTCATAATTTCAAGCAGTCACTAAACAGTAGTTGTAAGTCAAGGACTACCTGTATATATATTTATACACATATGTACATGATCTACGGTAAGATGAGAAAAGAAGGAACGAAGAAACCAGAAACAAAAAGCATTCTTCCCATCCCATTACATAAAAACAGGAAGACATCAGCCTGGGTGAAGAAATCAGGCTGAAATATCATAGGCAATCATGAATTTCATTTCATAATGACAACCTCTATATCTAGCCAGGGTTGGGGAATTATGGCAAGTTTATGACGTGTGAATGGCTGGCTCAGGAATTCTGGGAGTTGAAGTCCACAGGTCGTAAAGTTGCCATAGTTTGCCCATCCCAATCTAGGTAGATGCAGTAGGATCTTCCCAACAATGTCATAAGTTTTTCAATGGTAAAGATGAAGATGGCTTATCAAGTATCTTTAGATGCCATAAACAAACTCTTGAAGAACTTGGCTCACCAGCTAACTGGGAGCCAGTGTATGTTTCAGGACATACATAATATGTATAGCTCAAGTGCTCAGCTCAGCAACTTGGCCATTGCCATTTTTCCCCAGCTCCAGCCTCCAACCAAGCACAAGGGAAGTCCCACACAGTGTCCTACAGTAATTGTAGTCTAAAGCAATAAATGTAAGAACATTGCTAGACCATCCCAGAAAGATCACTGTTGATATATAACTTAAAGTTGGCAATAGGAACTCCTGGCTACAGAGTTCCCTTAGGATTCCAGTGACAGCAGTGGGGCAGGAAACAGTGATAGGGTCCTTTAGACCTTCAGATTCAAAGGGGAAAGATGTCTTGGAGCTCCCACAGGTATCATCAGCACAGAGCCCATACTACTCTCTGAGGTTGCCCTTGAAAGTAGAAGCAAAGTATGGACACAGACCCTGAGTCCATATCTTATGAAGACAGTCCACAGAGAAACTGTGCCAATGGTATCAAAAGCTATAACATTAAGCAAAATCAGGAGTCATACATCCTTTGCCTTTTTCACATGCATCAGGCTGATAATTTTCCAAGCCAGGTTGTAAAAAGATCAAGACAGCAGTTTAAACTCAGGAATACTGGCAATTGGGTGGAAGCCACTTACACAAACAGTATTTACAATAAGGAAATATTTGATCAAATCTTTTGCCTTTAGAGAGAGCGTCTTCTAGACTGGACAGATTTTTAATGCTGGAGGTACCACTTCCTCACAAAATAATGCATTCATCACTTTCTGGATCCACTTAGCTAACCTCCCTCACCTAGTCTGAACAAATCAAGATCAGCAGGAGTTAAAAAGCATGTGGTAAACCAGAGAATTAAAACTATCGCGTCCACCATCTGAGGCTTCATAAACTAAAAGCGATTCCACACAATTAGACCAAATGGCATGCTGCACACTGTGACCTGCATTAAAAGCATCCTTTATTGGCACAAAAAATGGTTCACAAATCTGTCACATCAATTCTTTGAGAGCTGCAACATTGGGCTTTCTAGAACGGATGACAATAAATCTTTCGCGGCCCTAAAGGATCCTACTGAATAGATGCAGGTAGTCCTCGACTTACAACCAGTTGCTTAGCAACCATTCAAAGTTACAACCTGCCTGAAAAAGGGACTTACAACCCAGATCTGAAGTTCTCACGGTCGGCCTCCAGTCATGTGACCGCACTTGGCAACGTGGCCACATTTATGTGACCATGTTTTACGGCAGTTTTGATGAAACCTGGCACTTTCATCAAAACTGAGGCCACAGTGGGTTCACACAAATGCAGCGTTCGCTTAATGACTGCAATAAAAAAAACTTTGTAAAATGAGGTTGGTCATGTGACCTGGCCATTTTATGACAATCATTTAAGGCAGGCTCCATTAGAGTTATGTCGAGTACTATCTGTAGTTGAGGATGCAATAAGACACTTCAAAGTAAGCCTTCTCTGCAGTCTTTAGTACTGAGGGTATATCCAATTGGCCTCAATTTGCATTTATTCATTCAATATTTTACCACTTGTGCTCAAAATGACTCCTGGCCTGCTTTATTCCCCTGGGGCTCTCTCCAGGGTACCTGGAGAGCCAGTTTGATTTGGGGTTAAGGAACCAGGAGACCATGAGTTCTAGTCCTACCTTAAGCATGAAAAAACAGCTGGATGACTTTGGGTCAGTCCCTCTCTCTCTCAGCCCAAACCACCTCACACGGTGGTTGTTGTGGAGAAAATAGGAGACGGAAGGAGTATTAGGTACGTTCACGGCCTTGATTTATTTATAACCAATAATAAAAATGGGATTAAAATGAAATAAATTAAAAATAAGAACAAGAAGAGGTCCAGGATCCTCGGCTCCAAAGTGAAGGATTCTTTCAGTTGCTTACAGGTAGTCCTCCACTTACAAAGTTCACTTAGGGACTGTTCAAAGTTATAATGGCAGTGAAAAAAGTGACTTACGACCATTTTTCACACTTACGACCGTTGCGGCATCCCCATGGCCATGTGATCAATATTAAGATGCTTGGCAGCTGGCTCGTATTTATGACGGTTGCAGTGTCCCCGGGGGTGATGTGATCAGCTTCTGACAAGTAAAGTCAATGGGGAAGCCGGACTTAACTTAACAACTGTGTTATTAACTTAACATCTGCAGTGAATCATTTATCGACTATGGCAAGCAAAGTCATAAAATGGGGAAAAACTCACTTAAGAACTGTCTTGCTTAGCAACAGAGATTTTGGGCTCAATTGTGGTCATGAGTCGAAGGCTACCCATATTCTGTTTCCCTATTCCACAGGTCAATAAAGATCATTTACCTCAGCTTCTGGACAATTCCCCACAGCGCCTAAGAGTCCATTACTTTCCCTATCTCCTGGGGATCTTACCATCCTCATGAACCACACCCATACAGGGCCTGCTTTTCATACCTCACCATTTCCCCATAGTGCCATCAATGTCAAAGCTTTTCCTTCTTCTTCTTTTCTTTTTGCTTTCCAGTCATTGTAACTTTTTCCAGCTGTCTCTCCTAAGAGCCAAATTAGTCCTTTTAAAGTTATTTCCTGTTCTGCCATGCCCTTTATAAAAATTAAAGAAACTGTTTGGGCCATTTCACTTAGATAGTTA